CTCTATCGATATCAACGCCATCTATTAAAGTAGAACTAAAACTTTCTTTTAATTACAAATATGGTTTCTTCTTTAACAATACATATATAGTATATAATAAAAGATTTTATCACACAGCGAGAGTAGCCTAATGGTTGAGTGTGCGGGGAATTAAACACGGACTTCATTCGACTATTGTCGTGAGCTAAACAAGTTTTGGTAATGTGAATAGCGTTACTAATATTCACATAACAAAAATCTTGTGAATTCTTTGTGCAAGTAACAGTAATATTTTTTGCTAATTTGAATACATTTCAGGTCAGATTCAGAACTATTCAATGGCAAAGTCAAGTCGTGGAAAGGATTTGATAGTTTACCAAGATTACACGTATTATGCGAAGTGCAGAAAAAAATATTGGTACTGCACGAATTACATCGATGGATGTCCCGCAAAAATACATATGGATAACAATGGATTAATAAAATTTTCTTATTCTGAACACTCTCATCCACCTCCGCAATTGCATCGTTTGGGAAACGGCACTTTAATTAAAATAAATTAACATTTATAATTTTTTTTCTACATCAGTTTCGTGCAAAAACAATTTACAAGTAAGTTGTCTTCAAAAGTGAACAGGCTGTTTCTTTTTTTTTTTAAGAAAAAGTTGCTATGTACAAGATTACAACTACTAAGATTTAAGAGCTTCTACTCGTACGAAAAAACGTTATTATTTCCGAATCAATGTAGATTTCATCCAGTTTGGTTCGAAATTAAATCCGTGGGGCTTACTTAATGGCGATTAACCGACTAACTGCTAACCATTACTAATGTAACAAACCGGGCTCATGCGCAGTTCCAACACTATAGGTGTAAGGGCTAATCGTGATCGGATCGGGATTTTGTGTCTCGTCATAAATTTTAAAATCGGCCATTTTGATTATCCGATTATAAGACAATATTTGATTAACTCATGCGCGCTTACCTGTACTTATTGAAGCTGGTCGATAGCTTAGCCGGCTGATCACTAGAGCCACTTACGCGTAATTACGTAATATATTGTGTCAGCGCATTACCAGCGGTTTAATAAAACTGTGTATACCGTCTTTGTGAAGACACCAAGCATAATGTTGTAATGCATTATTATCGGTACTTTTTATTAGTTTGTAATTAAAGATATTTTTTAATAAAGGATGAAAAACTCGTTTATTGTTTATAATCTCCTACATATGAAATAGCCATATTAAAGAAAAAAGTAGGTTTTTGAAAATTAGTAGTATAATTACTAACCATTTCTGTTTTAGTAACTAAACTTTAAATAAAACTAACAGCCGACTTCTGAAACTCTTCATTTTACATAAATACTAGCTGTGCCCCGCGACTTTGCCCGCGTGGAATTTACTACGATTTCATGGATATCAATTTTTATGCGCGGAACCCCATTATTGTTTTTGAGTAATGTTACCATCTTATAAATATTGACAAATATTGCCATTAATATTTATACGATACTAACGTCACTCAATTGTTTTGCCTTCCCGGAACCCCTCCACTAACACTTAAACTTTCATCATCATCATTACAGCCTTTCATAAGTCCACTGCTGAACCTAGGCCTCCCCCAAGGAATGTCACAAAGCACGGTCCTGAACCACCTGCATCCATCGACTTCCTGCATGTCTTACCAGGTCGTCACTCCATCTCGTGGGGGGTCGCCTTACACTTCGCCTACCGGTACTTCCCCATCGGTTGTCGGTTTTTCGAGCTATATGGCCGGCCCACTGCCACTTCAGCTTACTAATCCGTTGGGCTATGTCAGTTACTCTGGTTCTACTGTGGATATCCTCATTCCTAAGTTTATCACGCAGAGAAACTCCGAGCATAGCCCTCTCCATAGCCCGCTGAGCGACCTTGAGCTTCCTCATACGGCCAGCAGTGAAGGACCACGTCTCAGATCCGTAAGTCATCACTGGCAACATGCACTGGTTGTACAATTTCGTTTTAAGATTTTGAGGTATGTCTGACGAGATGTGTCGTAGTTTCCCGAACGCTGCCCAGCCGAGTTGAATCCGTCGATTGATCTCTCGGTCGAAGTTGGACTTACCTAGTCGGACTATTTGGCCCAGGTAAACATACTCGTCAACAACTTCGAGCTTAGTGCTCCCAACAACTACCGGCATAGGTGTGACATGGACCTTAAACACAATCTTTGTTTTGTCCATGTTCATCTTAAGACCTATCCGTTGGGAGACATTATTGAGGTCATTGAGCATAGTGCTTAGGTCCTCCAGCGATTCTGCCATAAGGACTATATCGTCGGCAAATCGAAGGTGAGTGATGTATTGGACGACACGTCGCCTGCTGTTGCTGTCTGCGGTCGGCTACGGAATTGTACCTTAACGAATTGTGTACGTGCGCAGTAAAATAGTAGACAATTAGTTAAAATAATGTATTATATACTCGTATATATAGCACAGTCCACCTGACGGTAAATGGACACTGTGGCCCATAGACACCCACATTTATCAATAAAACAACTAATTAATTAATAATTATAATATTACAACCATAATATAGTGCTTAGAAGCTGCAGCATAGCTCTGCCACGCTATTTTTAGGCTATCAAAGACAACGAACTATGACTAACTTTACTCGTCATAATTTAATATAACCAATTTATTCTGTGATATAATAACTTAACTATCTAGTGCTTAGTAACTATAATTTAACTAGTGTTACAAATAGCCAGGATAGTTTTCTAATGATGAGTTTTAATAAATTTAATTACTAAAATTTGTAGTATTATTTAATTATATAGTTAATGACATTTTATTTATATTCCAGCAATTCTAATACTATTGGGGTATTTTCTTTCCTATACTGGCCCTTATGATAAGTTACGTAGATATCTACTCGGTAACACATCCCAGTAATGTTACTTGTAATTTACAACGTTCAAATAACGTTCTTTCTACGGTGCTACCGCAAAAGAAATACAAAAAATAGATATTGGGTGAAGAAGCCGCTCTTTATACACTTCTATCACCAGTGTCGAAATTTCACATTCTTTATTGTATGCATTGTAACTTGTACTCACACGTGTGCTCCGCGCGAAAGTTGCAATGAACTGATTTAAATTGCCCCAATTTCGCTACACACGCGACAGCAGCAGGGCCAATCTAGGGAGCAAGGAAGGTCTTGCGCCCCTGCCGCCCTGCCTGCCTACACACACCTGCAGGGCCGACTTAGAAAATTGCCCCTGCTTGCCTACACACATCACATTTAAGGAGGCAATTAAGGGTCATCCCCACTCCTACACCCTAGCTTGCCCCTGCGGCAGGCAAGTGAGTAGCCGCCTTAACACTCACAGATAGCGCATCAAACTGGCCGCCACGCGTTAGTTCGCTCGCTGCCACTGCCTCCACACTAGCCTTGGGCATAGTTGGTCGCCATTGGGAGCGCTCAATTTAGTTCGTTAGTTCTTTTTGAAATTTTCAGTAGATCTTATTACAAAAGATGAGTTTATTGAATGTCAGTAAATAAAAATTAATTGAATTTACGTTACAAATGTTAATGATTTAATTAGTATGTAATATACTAAGTACCATAATATATAATATATGCATGATTCTTATCAAGAACTATTCGATGATATGGACATTAAAATAAAATATAATAAACGAAGCTAACCATGTTTTAATATTTTTGAAGTGTATTGGATTATTGAAAATAACGCAACTGCAATTTATAGATTACATGTTGCTAACTGATGTAACATAGTGTAATCTTGATATAACAAACCTCAATACAACGAATTTTTCGGTTTAACGAATTTTTCGAAATCCCCTAGAACTGGAATCAAAATCAAAATATAACTCTACATTACGAATAGATTTTATCAGAAACATCTTTATATCGAATTTTTAATCATTGCAGAATATATATAGAAGGTATTATTTACCTAGTTTTAATCAATTTTTTCAACTTGAAATCTTGACATAACATATCCTATTAATTATTCCCACTTAATACCACAATAAATCACGTCTTGGCAGGTTCAGACACGTACACGACAGGCAGATGACTATTTACGTAATGTTGAGATTAATAAACAAGTATTATTACCTTGTCAAAACGCATTGTAGTTCCACATAACCTCTATATAACAAACCTCATTATAACGAATTACTTGGTATTATAACGAATACTTTCTAATTCCATTCAGTTTCGTTATATTGAGGTTGCACTGTATTCGAGTATTTATTAAAATTAGTAGAATTAGAAAAGTAAAATAGTAAATTTTGAATAAACTTACGGTAAAATCGAATTGAGAACTATACGATAATTATGTACTGCTTACTATCACTTTCATATTAATATTGTGAGCCAGCAATATTTGTTATTTGTTGTGAATTGTGCACTAATAAAACCTTAACTATAGACTATAAATTATATACTTTAATAAGAAACTCTGGTAAGAACGGTAAGCATAAAAATAAATTAGTCGGTTAGCCATGCAGTGCCACTCCATAATAGAGCGGACGCAAGAAAAATAAGTAATTAAAGAACTAAGAGTGAGATTGTCGACGAACTAGTTCGCATAGTTCACCTAAAAGAGCGCTCTTCCCACCTAGGTTGTTCGCGAACTACCCAAGACTACTCCACACTAGTGCGGTTTCATTCATTGTGAAGGGCGGTCGCGCGGTACGAATTATAAGAAATCGTCCAAATCAATCAAGTATTTTTTGTAAAATCTTATATATAGAAATTAGTCCCACAGTTTTCTTCTATTTCATGCTACTTCATTATATGTTTAAAAAATATATCATGGACCGAATAATGATTTTTTAGTTTTTTTTTTACACACGTCGGCAGTTATTAAGGCCTACCAAATTTGACCATATGCCTTATTATCCTCCTTTTATTGTATTAACTTTTAGTTCGTTTTGTAGTTAATTTTGTCTTTTTCAAAATGTTAGAAATGTGAATAAGTATGTATTTACAACTATTCGCTAATTGTTTCATTGTTATTTTTAGTGACTACAACCACAACGCCTCCCAAACGAGCATTGTGGTCTAATAATGACTTGGTGTCGGCTGTCCAAGCAGTACAAAGAGGAATGCTGAGCACATCTAAAGCTGCTGAGAAATATAAAGTTCCCAGGACAACCATTAGAAATCATCTCCAGACTGGCAGTTTGAAAAAAACACTAGGTCGAAAGTCTATACTCTGTGAAGACCAAGAATCTGATCTTGTTAGCAATGTTATGAGGTTCGCTGAAAAGGGATTGTCTCTGACACCACGGATGCTCCGACGCTTTGTTTATAAATTTTGCGAGTTTAATAACATCAAACATAACTTCAATAAACATGCTGGAGTCGCTGGTAAAGACTGGTTTAAAGCGTTTATGAAAAGACATCCGGAAATATCAAGAAGAGAAGATCAGTTTATGGACCCTGCCATGGCACAGAAGCTTAATAAATTTATCTTTGATGATCACTTCAAAAGTCTAAATGAAATCTATGATAGTCTAGGTTTGAAAAGTCATCCTGAAAGGATTTAAAATATGGATGAGACAGATCGTCGTCTAACAATCCACCACCAATAGACTGTTTTGGAAAAGAAGGGGGCAAAAAGAGTGCATTTACAATCTTCGGAACACGCTGAAAGTGTCACTATCGCGGGATACGTAAATGTACTTGGTAGTGCCATGCCACCGGGATCATTGACCTGATCATGACTAATGCACTTTTTAAAGAATTTTTGAAACACCTAACCAGGCACAAAAGTGCGGGAAAGTGCCTTTTAATATTTGATGGAGCAGCTTGTCACTTATACTTATCAATCGTGGAAGTCACAGATTCATTCGACATTTCATTATACTGTTTACCTTCAAACACCACTCATAAACTCCAACCCCTCGATAAAACCGTCTATCGATCATTTGAACACCACTGGGAAGTTGAAATTTTATCTTTTATGGAACAATATATATTATACAATTTAGTTTAATTATTTAAATATCTAGTGTCCTACATTATTAAACCGATTGTATAAGTGATGTCTGAAACACAAGTACTCAACCTAGTTCAGGCAGGTAGCTAATATTATAAATATGAATTTTCTATCTTCTTTTGTAGATTCTACATTATTTAGCTACAAATAGTTTTAATTTTATCATAACATGTTATTTTTGTTAGACTTATTGTTACTTTATTAATTGTAATCATTTTGTTTCCTGTATGTCAACATGTGTAATTCGAAATGAAATAAATATTTATTATTCTTATTTATTTATATTATTAATACTCAGACAAAATACTCACTAAGGCACGATTTAATATTATCTTTTCAAATGTCTGGTCCAAATGCATGACACAAAATAATATTACAAACGGCTTTAAAGCAACCGGTTTGTATCCATTGAATCCACAGGCTATTCCAGAAACAGTCTTTGCTCTGTCTATATTGACAGAAACCAGAGCTATCTGACGATGTTGATAAAGAAAATACAAAGCCTCGCGTATCCCCCAGACCAATGACCCTAGAGCTATCGACATGAAAAATAAGAGAAATAATAATCTAACACACCCAAAACACATCTGGAAGGTTTTACCGCATGGTTTACGATAATTCGAATTCGGACGATGATGAAATTCATGTGCCGCTTGCTCAAGTAAGAAGAACAGAATTTTATCAGGTTATGCTAACACCAGTTAAAATACTGCTGAGCAAACACCAACATTTAGAAGAAAAGCCATAAATTACAGAGGAACTCCTGTCCCCAAAAAACTATTTGAAAAAACCAAGGAAGAAAAAAAATACAAAAGAATTCAACCTCCAAAGGTAGAAGTGATACTAAACAGGTCCAGGCAAGTTGGGACTGTCATGGTTGTGAGGAGGATAAGATTGATGTTAGAAGGCAATTTTCTGAATGCAGCAAGTGGTGTCATGAGGAATGTGTCGGCTTGTCAGCGGATGATACAGATAATTTTGGGTGCACTGATGGCTGTTAAACAAAAAAAAAATGTTGTTATTTTTAAGACTTCAAGCTTGATTAATGCGTACCTGTTTTTATTATTGATTTCAATCACCTATTAATGTAAAAAGCCTATTATGATTATTTAAGTAAGTTAAAGTTTTAGGACGTATTACCCTACTTTTGTATAATAAGGCCTACTGACAAGGTTTTTAAAAATGTTTAATTGTTTCTGTTATCGGCGAAAGTTGCTATATTTTGTTTATTTTTATCGTTATTGATCTATAAATTTGATTCACATTCAAATTTGAAGATTTGGAGAAAAAGTTTTTATTTTATTTCAAATCTCCCATAGCTAGGCCTTATTACCCGTATCTACCTTTGACTATATTCAACTTCAACTACACGCTGCCTGGGTTGTTCTTTTGGGATATGAGACAACGTCAGGACGGTGCCTGGTTTAAATACACTTACAGCGTTTTTTTTAGGGCAACTCATTCTTTAAGCAAAGTGTGATATTGTACATGATGAAAAAAATAAACAAGCATCATTTGCTTAATTATTTACAGCCGGAAATGTTACTAATTACATTAAGATTTTTTTTTCCACTTAAATTACGATAAAAACTAATATTATATAAATATTTAACATAGGTATTACAAATTCATATCCCGTGTATTGATAAATCAGTTTTTAAACGTATGATTTTTAGATGCGTTTCATATGTCAACGCAAGACGTTTCAGAGGATAAATAATAAATTAATTAATTATAATCGGTGACTTTTAACACTTGCCTCTTTAAACAAGATGCCAGGGCTTCTTCTCTTCAGTCAATCTTATATTCTAGTAATCTCTCTATTTTATCGCTAAATGCCACGCATCATTTTCGAAATTCGCATTCAGAATTTTGCATAAGGTTTATATTTGGATTGCCCAAATATGACCTTTTTTTCGTACTAAGCTCAAGTGGTTGCTAATACGACTTCATCGGAATGCTCACATACTTCATCTTCTCTATAGTATTCTCTTTAATCCTTCTTACCTCAAAAATCGTTTTGAGTTTCTTCGTGATTCTCATTCGCATAACTTGAGATCAGCAAAGAGTTTGAAGTTGAATTTTCCACTATACACTAGAAAATTTATGAACAAACCTTTTACTGTAAAGGCCGTTCATTTATGGAATGAACTCCCATTGTCAGTAAATTGCGCACCATCCCTACCGGTATTTAAAAAAAGCGGCCAAGTGCGAGTCGGACTCGCCCAAGCAGCAAGTAACATAATATAAAAGTTCTTGTAGTTCGTTGTAACTTTGATCGATGTTTTAATAATAGTGTATTTTTTTACTTGTATATTTGAGTTGATTGAATGAAAGGTAAATTGCGGTTTACGATTTACGATTTATTAAAAGAAAATATACTTACTATATCTCGTTGAAACCAATTTTCGGTGGAAGTACATGGTAATGTACATCATATATTTTTTTTAGTTTAATCATTCTCTTATTTTAGAAGTTACGGGGGGGGGGCACACATTTTACCACTTTGGATGTGCCTCTCGCGCAAACTATTCAGTTTAGAAAAAAAATGATATTAAAAACCTCAATATCGTTTTTGAAGACCTATCCATAGATACCCCACACGTATGGTTTTTATGAAAAAACAATTTTTGAGTTTCAGTTCTAAGTATGGGGAACCCCCACAATTTATTGTTTTTTTTTTCTATTTTTGTGTGAAAATCTTAATGCGGTTCACAGAATACATCTACTTACCAAGTTTCAATAGCATAGTTCTTATAGTTTCGGAAAAAAGTGGCTGTGCCATACGGACGGACAGACAGACAGACATGATGATCCATAAGGGTTCCGTTTTTTGCTATTTGGCTACGGAACCCTAAAAACTAGTTAAGAATCATTACCTCGCACTTTAAATTCTAACTTCACTTCCACACTAGCCATTAAATATACTATTATATGTAGCTTATCAATTTCATTTATTAATTAAATAATTCAATATATATGTATTTTATATTTTGTATGTACATATGTTTGTAGTTTGTGTATATATAACAATCGATCCATTGCGTTATGTGACTAGTAAGGTTGGTGACGGTAATAAGGTCTGTCGGCTATTAAGGCCTAAGTAACAAAAATACAATTGAAAATGATCGATGTCGCTCAGGGCTGCCAAGGATGTCACGCTAAAGGCGGCTACTGACATGCCTACCGCAGGGTCAATGTAGGGTGTACAGCGATCGGGGCAATATCGGAGCTGTCTCTACACACATGCCTGCCGTTCAGTATGAGAGTTGAGACTTGAGAGAGCGTTGAGAATGGCGCCAGTTTTGTCGAAATATCAATGAATCGGTATTTATAGTCTTGGCTCTTTTTTATATGAAATAAGGGTGACAAATGAGCACAGTCCACCTGATGGTAAATGGACAGTGTGGCCCATAGACAACCACATTTATCAATAAAACAACTAATTAATTAATAATTATAATATTACAACCATAATATAGTGCTTATAAGCTGTTTTTAACAGTGGTAGAGCCACGCGGCAGCTTTTGCTGTCGCACGGATGGGCCGGCTCGAACCGGGGTAGTACCACGACTTCACAGAAAACCAGCGTGAAGTAGAGGTTTACCTCTGCGTTTCGCTTGGTGAGTGCAGGTGGCCGGAGGCCCTTTTTACTGGAAATGAGGCATTCCATCTTAGTCCTCGCGGGTGGCAGCGCATTTGCATTTTGATTTGTAACAGAGGATAGATGTAGATGTCTATGGGCCGCAGCAACCACTTACCATCAGGTGGACTGTGTGCTCGTTTGTAACCCTTATCCTATAAAAAAAGCATAGCTCTGCCACGCTATTTATAGGCTATCAAAGACAATTAAATGTGACTAACTTCACTCGTCATAATTTAATATAACCAACGTATCATGTTATATAACTTAACTAACTAGTGCTTAGCAACTATATTTTAACTAATAGTTTTGTAATGATGAGTTTTAATAAATTTAATTACTAAAATTTGTATTATTATTTAATTATATAGTTAATGACATTTTATTTATATTCCAGCAATTCTAATACTATTGGGGTATTTTCTTTCCTATACTGGCCCTTATGATAAGTTACGTAGATATCTACTCGGTAACACATCCCAGTAATGTTACTTGTAAGTTACAACGTTCAAACAACGTTATTTCTGCGGTGCTACCGCAAAAAAGACAAAAAGAGATACTGGGTGAAGAAGCCGCTCTTTATACACTTCTATCACCCGTGTCGAAATTTCACATTCTTTATTGTATCCATTGTAACTTGTACTCACACGTGTGCTCCGCGCGAAAATCGCAACGAACTGATTGATATTGCCCCAATTGCGCTACACACGCGACAGCGGCAGGGCCGATCTAGGGAACAAGGAAGGTCTTGCGCCCCTGCCGCCATGCCGCAGGGCCGACTTAGAAAATTGCCCCTGCTTGCCTACACACATCACAATTAGGGAGGCAAGTAAGGGTCATCCCCACTCCTACACCCTAGATTGCCCCTGCCGCAGGCAAGTGAGTAGCCGCATTAACAGTCACAGATAGAGCATCAAACTGGCCGCCACGCGTTAGCTTGCTCGCTGCCACCTAGAGATGCGCAAAACAGTGCGTTTTAAAGTGATGTAATATGACATTACATTTCGCACCGAGGAATTTCACGTTATAGCATGACTCCAAACATGACGCGAAATGACACTACACAGGATGGCTATTGTAATGAAATGCTCGCGTTGTAGAAGATATGCTTGCGTTGTGATGTGACAATTGCCAAACGCAATGCCCTCGCTACTCACTGCGCCGGAATGAACACTTGATTTTGTTATCATATTCATAAAGTCGATTTTTCTTCACACTTTATTCCAATCTACTGAACTATTCAATCAAAATGGTATTACGGGCTTATGACTGACAATAAACATAGATTGCAATATTGATAATTGACCAATATTATGAGTATTGGCATCTATTTTCTTTACAGTGATTGTAAAATCTATTTTCTTTACAGTGATTGTAGTTTTTTTTTAAATTTGTTTTACATTATGTGTTTTTTTTAATACCAATTACCAACTAATAAATAATAATTGTAATAGTTTTTTGGTCTTTAGACATTCAAGAAAGTGGTATAGAAAGCACGAGACGTAACGGCATCATAAAAACATAAGATAGAATAGCGTATGAATATTTGAGCAATAGAGTCATAAGGTGCGAGATTCATCTATCACTAGGCGGTCCGCGGTGTTAATAAAACATTAACCTTAATGCATGAATAATATGGTTCTAAGTCTAAATATTCACTTATTTCTTAGCCAGCCGACCGCCGCATGCTCCTTTTCGCTTACACATAGCGAAAATTAACGGGATAATACGGATACCGAAGAAAGCGCTGCGCGTCATGTTTGAGTGTCATGTGCCATATTTAATTTGGTCGAGTCATGTGTAATGCTACAGTACGCGGTCGGGTTATATGACGCGTAATGCAACAATCGCATTACTTACACAAGTCTACTGCCACCACACCAGTGCGGTTTCATTCATTGTGAAGGGCGGTCGCGCGGTACGAATTATAAGAAATCGTCCAAATCAATTAAGTATTTTTTGTAAAATTACACTTATATATATAAATTAGTCCCACAGTTTTCTTTTATTTCATGCTACTTCATTTAATGTTTGAAAAATATATCATGGTCCGAATAATGATTTTTTAGTTTTTTTTACACATGTTGTCAGCGGTTATTAAGGCCTACCAAATTTGACCATATGCCTTATTATCCTCCTTAATGCAAAATTAACTGCAAATATACTATACACAAAATGTTAGAAATGTAAATAAGTATTTACAACTGTTTGCTAATTGATTCATTGTTAGTTTTAGTGACTAAAACCATAACGCCTCCCAAACGAGCATTGTGGTCTAATAATGACTTGGTGTCGGCTGTCCAAGCAGTACAAAGAGGAATGCTAAGCACGTATAAAGCTGCTGAGAGGTATAAAGTT